CACCAGCCAGGCAACCCAGGACCTGGTTTGATGTGTTTCCATCTAAGGATGTCTTGTGCAGTGCACACTGTAAACGTATATAATCTACACTGAACAAGGCATATCCAACGAGCCGGTGTTCTCCATCTGGCTGATCACAGCCTTCCTGTACTTAGGAACATCAGAAGCCACTTTGGCACTAAGCTTGGGGGTCATTTAAAGAGTGACCTCCCCAATGAAAAGCACCAGAAAGCGTGACACAAAGGGACTGAAACGAGGGCGCCTATTTGTAGAACAAGCCAACCACAAAGGCCGAGCGCAGCCTTCCTTGGCCTCAGCGGGGGTCGTGCACATGGGGCGACTCAGATTATTCGCTTCTCTGCATGTGCCCATGAAGGAACCAGGAGTATTGATTTTGGGGTTGCAGATGCAGTCTAGTGAATGGGCAGATTTGCAAATAGTGAACCCGCAGGTAATGGGGATGTAAATTGTCCCTCAAAATTCGAAGGCATCGCTCCATGGTTCCTGACTCTCTCGTGTTGTTATTAGCCTGATGCTGATTTTAATCATTGTAGCTTTAGATGGGAGCTGTTCATTGTTTCCTCTTGGCCAGTTTTGAGCTACTCTTCTTTTTTTGTACTGGGGATTGAACTTGGGTCCTTGCGCTTGAGAGGCAGGCAGCAGAACCACTGAGCTAAATCTCCGGCCCTGAGCTGCTCTTCTTTGTCCTTCAGTAATCTGAAATTTAATGATGCTATGTATTGGTTGCAATTATTTCTACCGGTTGCATGGTGTACTAGCATCTCCCGGTTCTGGGATATTTAATTGACTTTTTAATTTCCCTTTAATTTAGTGCATGGTGAAAGATAGGGATCTGGTTTTAATCTTTGGCAGGTTGAAATCCAGTTTTTCCAACAACAATTATTAAAGAGTCTATCTTTCCTCTACTGAAGATGGTAGGATCCTTTGTCAAAGATGAGGTAGCTGAGTATGTCTGGAGTTGTTTCTGCATCTTCTAATCTATTCCACTGATATTTGGGTCTGTTTCTTTGCTAGTACCATGCTGTTTTTATCACAGTAGCTTTGTCTATCGTTTCAAGTTGAGGACTGTGATACCCTCTGCCATGTCACTGTTGCCTAGAATTGCTTTTGCTATTCTAGGTCTCTTCTGATTCCAAATGAATTTTGGATTGTTTTCTCTAGTTCTGTGAAATATACTGCTGGAATTTCAATAGGGATTGCATTGGATCTGCATAGCAGTTTTGGAAGTATGGCCATTTTCACTATATTGTTTCTTCCTACCCAGGAACAAGGGATGTCTTTCCATTTTCTTATGTACTCTTTGATCTAGTTTTTCAGAGTGTTGTAGTTCTCAATGTAGAGGTCTTTTGTTTCCTTTGTTAGACTGCTTCCTAGGTATTTCATTTTTTTGGATGCTATTGTGAAAGGGATTATTCCCCTAATTTCACTCACAATGAGTCTGTTATTTGTGTACAAGAAGGCTATTAATTTTAGAGTGTTTACCTCGTATCCAGCTACTCTACTAAATCTGTCAATTAAGCCTAGAAGTCTTTTGACAATTTTCTTGGGTCTTCTATGTAGAGTATTGTACCTTCAGCAAATAATGACAGTTTAACTTCTTCCTTTCCTATCTTTATTGCCTTCATTTCTTTCTCTTTGCCTAATTGCTGTGGCTAATGTTTCCAGAACCATATTGAACAGAAGTGGTGACAGTGGACACCCTCATCTTGTTCCTGATTTTAGTGTGAAGGTTTTCAGTTTTTGACCATTTAGTATGATGTTGGCTATTGGGTTTTCATAGATAGCCTTTATCAAATTGAGATAAAGACCATCTATTCCAATTTTCTGCAGGGCTTTTATGAATGGGTGTTGAATTTTGTCACATGCTTTTTCAGAACCTATTGAGATGATCATATGGTTTTTATCCTTGACCTTGTTAATATAGTGTATTACATATATTGATTTACATATGTTGAACCATCCTTGCATCCCTGGAATAAATCTGACTTGGTCAGAGTGCATAATCTTATTGATGACCCTCTGTAGTCTGTTGCCAGTATCTTATTGAGGATTTTTGCATCTATGTTCATTAGGGAGATTGGTCTGTTCTCTTTTTTGGTTGGATATTTCCCTGGTTTTGGAATCAAAGTAACATTTGCTTCCAGGAATGAATTTGGAAGTATTAGTTTTCTTTCAATTTCACAGGAAAGTTTAAAGAGTAGTGGCATTAGTTCTTCTCTAAATGTTTTATAGAATTCATCAGTGAAGCCATCAGGACCAGGGCTTTCTTCATTGGTAAATTTTTAATTACATTTTTAATTTCACTGTAATTGGGGTGATTAGAATATTTTTTTTATCTTCATAGTTCAACCTTGGTAATTCATATATATCTAGAAATCTGTCCATTTCTTCTGTGCTCTCCATTCTATTGGAGTACTGGTTCTTAAAGTAGGTATTGATGATTCTCTGGATTTCTGCTGGATCTGTTGTGACTTTACCTTTTTTGTTCCTAATTGCATGGATTTGATCATTTAATTTCCTTTTTTTGACAAGGTTGGCTAAGGGTTTATTGATTTTATGTATTTCTAAAACCAACTCCTCGATTCATTGATTTTTTGGTATCATTCTCTTATTCTCCATTGCAATGATTTCTGCTCTGATCTTTATAATTTTCTCCCTTGTGTAAGCATTGCGTTTCTCTTGTTCTACTTTTTCTAGAAGCTTAAGATTCAGTGTTAAGTTATTTATTTGAGCTCTCTCTGTTTTCCTAGTGTGGGCATTCACTGCTATGAATTTCCTCTGTAGAGCTGCTTTCATTGTATCCCATAAATTCCTGTATGTTGTACTGGCATTATCATTAAATTGTAAAAATTGTCTAATTTTTCTTTAATTTGACTCACTGGTTGTTCAGGAGAGTGTTATTCAATTTCCATGTGTTTGTGAAGTTCTTGTATTTTCTTATACTATTGATCTTCGGTTTAATTGCATTATGGTCTGATAATATACATGGGATAATTTAAATTCCTTTGCATTTACTTAAACATGTTCTATGAGCAAATATGTTGTCTATTTTGGAGAATGACCCATAGCAGCCGAAAAGAATGTACATTCTGATTTTGTAGGGTGGAACACTCTGCAGTTGTCTGTTAAGTCCATTTGTTTAAAAGCTTGGTTGAGTTCTAGTATTTCATTGTTAATTTCTTGTCTAGATGATCTGTCTATTTGTGACAGTGGGGTATTTAGGTCAATTAATACTACAATTGTGTTACTGCTTATTTGATTTTTCATGTCCCTTAATATTTGTTTTGTATAGTTGGGAGCATTAATATTTGGTGCACATATATTTAGGACTGTCATCTCTTCCTCTTGGATTGTTCTTTGCCTCTCTTAATTAGTTTTGGCTTGAAATTTACTTTGTCTGCAAACAAGATAGCTACCCCTGCTTTTTCCAGGTTCCTGTTGCATGGAGAACTGTTTTCCATCCTTTTACTTTCAGTCTATGAGTTTCTTTTTGAACTAGGTGTGTTTCTTGTATACAGCACATTGTTGGATTTTGCTTCTTAATCCATTCTGCCAGTCTGTTTCTTTTGATTGGTGAATTGAGGCCATTAACATTGATGGCTATAACTGACATGTATTGACTTATCATTGTCATGTTATTTTCCTGTTGTTGGCTCTTTTTTATTTCTCTCCCTCTCCCTTTAATTTCTTGCCTTTTAGATATTTTCTGTTGTGCCTCATGGTGTTGTGACCTTCATTGTCTTTTTCTAGGATATTTAAAAAAAATTGTTTGGAGTGCTGGTTTGGTATTCACACAGTTTCTCAGATGTTCTTTGTCATGGAAGTATCTTATTTCCCCATCAGTTTTAAAAGACAGTTTTGCAGGATACATCAGTCTTGGTTGGAGGTTGTTTTCTTTTAGGGTTTGCAATACCAGGCTTCCCTTAACTTGAAGGTTTGTATTGAAAAGTCTGCTGTGACTGTGATGGGCTTTCCTTTGCATTTGATTTGTTTATTTTCTCTAACTTCTTGTAGTATTTTGTTCTTCTGTTGGGTCTCCGGGATCTTAACTATTATATGTCTAGGTGTAAATTTTTTTTTTTTGATCATGGCTAGTTGGAGTCCTATATGCCTCACTTATCTGTATGTCAAGTTCTTTTCCTCTGTTTGGGAAGTTTTCTGTCATTAATTCTGGGAACAGTTTTTTTTTAAAAAATGTCATTTGTACTTTCTCCTTCTTTTTCAGGAACTCCTGTCAATCCTATTATAAAATAATCCTGTAAATTATGTGACCTGCATTAATCATGTATTAAATTCCTTTGCAAACCCTGACTACAACCAATTTCCTCAAAGGTCTTGTGCACCTTGGTTGTTAAATCCCCTTTTAGAAAGGTGTAATAAAGAGCAGCTTGACAGCTCTGGGAACTGGGGTGAGTGTGGGCTGTTTGTAGGCCTTAGGCATCAGTGAAGGGTGACCTGGCTTGGCTGTATCCCCTCTGTCCCCAAACACTGGTATATTTAGTTTTTTTTTTTCTTTAGGCAAGTTTTCCAGGGAATATTTGCACCCTTACCTTCCTTCCTGGTGGTTCTCTTGGACCACAGTGGGGGATGCAGGTTGGGGGCTCAGCCATAACTATTAAAGCTTCCTGGTCCCTCCTGCTGGGACTCCACACTGAACACTCCTTGTTCAGAACTCTCTTTTTTATCCCTTCAAAGAAGGAAGTGCAGTCACCAACCAGGTCAAGAAGAGTCCACCCACCAGGTAGCAGAGAGAAGGAGAGCGGGGACTTATTCTTTCTTAGATTTTCAAATGTGTCCTCTGTCTCTTGCTTCATTTTCTTGCCTTTCACTTGCAGAGGTAGCTGGGGCTGTGAATTCCTATGTGCTTCTCAGGTGCCGAAGGACACATGGACTTTTTTTTTGGCTTTTCTCACTGCCAATTAAGATTCTGCTTTCCTCGGTCTTCTAGTCCACTTACTATGTGTTCCTCTGCTTTCCAGTGTGAAAAGACAAGTTTTTGGCTAAAGGACGGACTAATGATGATCAGACAGACGAATGAATGCACATTGCAGAGTTGTCAACAAGAGAACCGGAGAGTTCACAAGAGAGCCCAGAGAAGAGCCCACTCACTTCTTCTCTCCTGAGCAATGTGAGTCCTGACAAACCGTGATACAAGCTCGAGAGATGAGGTTGATGCCTCTACCATGTTCCAGCTGCATCTTGCCCTGCAGAACGGTCCCTTCTGTGTCGGTCCCCAGCCTCATGACGTGAAGTATGTGGTTCTCTAGAGGGCAGGGACGACTGGCCAATTTGTGACCTGCACTTCTAGGGCATCAGCCACAAAGTGAGTCTGGCCCATGGCACAGCCTTACCCAGCATCTCCTTCCTGCTCTGTCTTGCTTTCTCCCTTACTGGTAGCCTTCCCTCTCTAAGTCTCCTATGTGCCTGGCTTGGCTGCCAGAAACCTGGCCTAAGAGGCGTGTCTTTAAAGTTTGACTTAGAGAAGGTTTTGTGCCTATATTCTAGAAGATATTGGACCACAGTCGCAGGGAGGGGGCATGGGGTCACAAGGGTGCAGGGTGGAAAAAGGGGCGATCACATGGCAGCCCAAGGGAGGGTTTGGGGATGCCAAATGATTGTTCTGCATCCTGATTGTGGTAGTGGCTACATCAGTCCTTGCGTGTGTAACAACTTGTAGAACGGAACACCTAGAGAAAAAAAGGCAAGTTATCTGTTTTCTAAATTGCAAGAATAAAATTATAATGCATGTTTTAAAGATTAAAAAGAGTTTATTCTTGCAATGGTGTAAAATCAGAAGCCCTGGAGCTAAGTGTCAGTGAGATTTGGGGGTCAGAGAGAGACGAATGAGTTAGTGGAGGTTGACGTACACCGACTCTGCCTTGGTATTAGAAGTAAATTGGTTTTGCATTTCCCATCCCCTTGTCTCCATCTAGTATGGGTCTTTCAGCCGCATGTGAGACGGAAATAAAACCTGTCAGCCCTCTCCTTCTGGGCTCCCTGTGTAATTTGTAGAAAACACTAGGAAAGCCTGTGTCCTGGGCCAGCCTCTGCAGCAGCTGCCCTCAGCATTACTACCAGCAGCCTTTGGTGTTATCAGCTTCCGGTGTCCATGCCCTAATTCCAGGAATCTATCAAAGTGTAATTTTGTATGGCAAAAGGTACTTTGTAGATACGGTTAAATTAAGGATCTTAAAACAGGGGAGGATGGTCCCGGGTTATCCACATGGACCCAGTATCATCACAGAGATCCTGATCAGGAGAAGGAAAGAGGCAAGAGAGTCAGAGCCACAGAAGGAGAGGTGAGGATGCGACGGAATCAGAGGCTACTGAGGGAGGGAGCGAGGTGATGATGTGGAAGTTGGAAGAGGACCAGATTCTTCCGGAGCCTTCGGGAAGAGTGCTGCCGGGCCAGTACCTTTGTGTTGGGACTTCTGACCTTCGCTGCTGTGAGGTATTAAAAGCCACCGAGTGTCTTAAGCCATTGAATTCGTGGTACTTTGTATAGCAGCAGCAGGATACAGATGTAATTGATGGCACACTTATTTAAGAATTCCTGATCTGCAAATGTGTCTTTTTAAGATTTTCCGCTCAGCTGGTTCTTACAGCTCAGAAGGAACCAGCCCTGTTAACACCTTAGATTTAGCCAAGGAATACTGATTTTGGACTTCTGACCCCCGCCCCCAGGGCTGGATGATAACAAATCCGTATTGCTTCAAGACACTACATTTGTGATAATATCCCTCTATCCGATTTGGGACATGAAAAAAAAAATTTAGCAACAAGACCTGACATGAAAATATTGGAGTGGAGGACACAGCTTGGATAACTTATTAACTTAAATAACACAGAGTGCAGCTCCTGGCCTGTGTGGAAGTAAGGATCACTTAAGTGATTTTTGAAATGTATTCAAGTCCCCAAACTCCTAGTAATGCAACAGAAATTCCACTAAATGTGTGAGAAATGAAGAGCCCATTGGGTCAGCCTCTCAATATAACCAGCAGTCACCGACGGGGGTCCAGACGGCCTGCAGTCACAGGGGCCAAGGCCGGTGCTAAGGAGGCCTTGCCCGGCAGGTGTCAGAGGTAGAAAACAGTCACTAACTTTAGTGTCTTTTCCCATCCGCTTCATTTTTTTGTTGTTGTTGGCTTCTGTGTGACTTTATCATGCCCCAAAATTTTGTTCACCACTTCGTGGTGTTATTATTGTTTGGTCTCCTGTCCTATCATATTTGGTTTACGTTATAAAAAAGAGGATAAATTTAGTATATGAATTAGCTGAGCAGGCCTGGAGCACAAAGGAAAATGAAACAATTGACCAATAGAAGAACCCAATAGGGTCCACGATAGCTCATTGCTGGTTTAAGTTCTGTATATTTATTCCTTATGTTTTCTTCATGCTCTTCCTCAGAAAATGTTTAAGGATACACTTAACTAATGTGGTTTAGAGTATAGCTTCTCTTGTGGGTTCACCTGGAGCCTTCAAGAAGGAACGGTCAATTTCCAACTTTCTGTAGCTGTGTCTGTGACCCTGTTAGGAAATAGAAACTTTCTGCGTGTGATTAGTTAAGGCAAGGACGAGTTAGTCTTGAGGCACAGAAAGGCCTTTTTGTGTTCTCATTTGATGGAGAAAGAGACCACCTTTCTGTGTCTCTTCTTACAAGGACACCAATGCCTTTCATAAGGGCCCCAACTTCATGAATTGCCTCTCAAAGACCGCATCCCCAAATACTACCAGCCTGGGGATTTAGGCTTCAGTCTGGATGGGTAGGGGGATACATCCAGCCCATCACCCTGTCTGGAACCACGCCAGTCAAGGTAGAAGTCATGTGTGGCCAGAAGCCCTTGTAATGTGGCAAGACCAAAGTCAGACGTGGAATCATTGTGAAATGCACAGCCGGTTTTGAATATGTAGTATCCTCCAAAAAAGTGAAATAGAAATTTGAAATACTAAGTACATGTTGAAATCATGATATTTGGATTATAATGGGGTAAATAAAACATACAATCAGATTATTTCACTTTTGGGCCTTTAAAAAAATGCAGTCACAAGGAAATTGAAAAATGACACAGGAAGATGGCAGTATGTATTTATGGGCAGTGCTTGTTTCTACCTTTACTAGGGGTAGTCATAGCTGAGGGCTGTGTTGAGCTGGAGAATCTCTCTGCTACCCAGCAAGACTGGCATCAGCAACTAGCGGTGGGACAGGAGTCAGAGGCTGTGGGAACAGGAAAGTTCAGGGAGTCTGCGTGGAGGAAGATGGGAAAAGTCACGCCATGGGGTGTGGTGGTCTAATGACATTGTGTATTATTTGTGCAATACTGATATCAGGACTCAGTTACAGTTTTATTTATATGAACTTCTTTTAAAATGAAAAGTCACCATAAACAGTATCGGTGGCATCTTAAGCTTAATATGCTAGGGCTATTTATTTTTAAGGTACATTAAAGTAAACATACAGCTATTAGAGTAATATTTATCTCCTGTCCCAACAATAGTGCACATTTTGGAACATTCTGGAAAAAAAGCCCACGTTCACTAATCTCTATTGGAGAAATTCTGTTAAAAGAATAATAGTCATTCTCTGATATGTATAATTATGATTCTCTGCTTTGATTTTTATGAAGCCATTTGAATTCCTCTGATGCGCTACCTTGACACTTAACGCAATGTTTATGCAACAATCATAAAAATTAATTGTCTTCCTTTTTGAAATGCTTTAAAAAATCCCCATCCTTGGCCTGCCTTATTGACATGTGCACATTAAAGTATGACTATGTGACAATAATAATTTTGTAACAATGAGTGAGTGTCACATTAATTATGTCAAAATAGCAATTTGCTTCTTTTCTAATATGTATAATTATTAATTTGGGGGAAGTGTGCAGAAAATGCTAAGCATACTGTTAGAGCTGGGGCTTACCCTCTGGAGTGAAGTTTCGTTTTCTTTTGAAATGTGTTTTTGGAGAGTTTACTGTTGGCAGGGTCTGTTACTGTACTTGGGCGCCAGTGAGTCTTAGGGAGAATTCCAGGCTGAACGTCAGGTTACAAATCAATGGCTGGGAAAGGTCACTGGAAGTTGCAGGCCAAAAGCTCTCTCTTTGTGAAGCCGCATGCGTTTGCGCGGTTGGTGGAGGGAGGGTCCACTCTAACAATTGTGCCATATTCTAATTTTGTTTGCCAGTTTGTCAATGTATCCAGCTAAAATGAAAAGCACACCTGTTTCTTTGTTTCCCTCGAATATCATCTTCAGAACGCAGCCTCAGAGAATCATTTCCAGTTTCGGCTGCTCATTTTTGATGACGTCCTTCTGCCATTGTTTCAGACGATGGGAAGAGATGGACCGAATCTCTCTCCCCATGTTTAAAATTAATTAGTAATTAATTAATTTTTGGTACTAGGGATCGAACTCGGGACCTTGAGCTTGCGAAAACAGGCGGCGGCACCACTGAGCTAAATCCCCGGTCCTCTCCCCATGTTTTTCCTTCAGCTCCACTTGGCTCCTAACTTTCGCGGTTTCCTGTGTGGTACTTTCCTAGCCCTCCTCAAGCAGGTTCAGGGAGAAGCACTGCGGGTATAAGGGGTTTGGTGCAGGCTCTGGCAGAGGCTGAGCCCTAGCTGCCCCACCCTCCCTTTGCTGCACAGTAAGAGATTACTGGGTCCCAGTTTGGGTGTGATTTCACCGAAGTTGTAAACTGTATAACCCAGTTCCCTGTGAGCACACAGCCCCTCCACCCCGGCAGAGCCCGACTCATCTCCAACTTTCAGGAATCGTTTCTGGCCGAAGCTTTCTTCCCTCTTTCTGGCTCCGAGGGCCGAGTTTTCGCTCTTGTTTCTGCGCTCTTTCTTGTATCCGGTCCCTCTCCTCTTCCATCCACACTCCCTCTTCTACAACTCAGCGTCTACATGCAAGGGCATCCGCTGGATGACCTTATTTGTCATAATTTCAAAATATGTATAGGCATGGCATTACTAAAAGAAGGAAAATGTTTTTAAAGTTATAGAATAGTATACACTCATGGAAAAAATGTATGCATTGGAAGGCCATGCTTGAATATGCATTAAGATCTTCTCTTTTGAGGTATATCTTGGAAATGACAGCTTTTCTGGTTTCAAAGACCATAATGACAAGTCCTGTTACTGCCC